AACTTTGCACACTTGTTTACCAACATGCCCCTAACCTGTAGACAGGAGGATGTAACTCTGTCAAGCATTTTGACAGACTCATGCCTCTTTCGACGTAGAATTTACGTTAAAGTTTGCGTATCAGTATTTACGTTAAAGTTTCATACCACCTCAGATATTTTCATATTTCATCGACATCTTGCTTTGAAAGAACTCTTTGAAAGAGCTCTTTCCGAGGCCTATAACTGTTACATGGATTTGAAAAAATGGCCCTTTTGTGATCTTATAATAATCTCACATAATCAAGGCTCTTTTACTTTCAAGCACTAAGAATAGTCGAGCGCAATGACCTACAGACAGCTACTGTGTGATTCTGTTGTGAAATCCTTTTGAAAATATTTTAATTTTGTGTGTATGTTGTGCATTTTAATGTTATTTGGAACCAAAAGTTGATTGCTCTTTCTTTGATATTGTGTTCTGTTGTTGCATTTGCTTTTAATTGTTTTTTTGCACTTTTATAGAAAATGTGATATTTATCATTTTTATCCTACTTAGACTTCAATAAATAATCAGAACAGCTTTAAGTTTGATATAATTTATTAGTTCTTAATTTCTTATTGAATATTTATTATATCGAATGTTGCTTTATGAACATTTTTAAAAAGCGGTCACGTTACGCCCCTTGCGGACATGCTGGCGGGCGGTGTCCACTTTTGTCCGAAGCATATCTTTTGCAAGCATGGAGGGATGTTAATGAAACTTCATAGAAATGTTCAAAACCATGAGAAGCCGTGTTGCGGGCATGAACCAGGTATCTAGGTCAATCGTCAAGTTCACACTAAGAGGTCATTAAAACCCTTGTAGCAAACTCTCTATATGCATTGAGAGATTACAATTTAACTTGGCACAGATGTTCACCATTGTGAGGTGTCGTGAGCAAAATTCAAGTAATTGCAGCTAAGGTGAAGGTCACACATAGGAATCAAAGTTTAAATAAAGATATGAAGATGTGTATAGGGACCATTTAGTCATCATTTATTGAGGGATTGTAACACAAATTGTCATTATCATGACATCAACTGTGACATATGTAATTTAGGTCAATATATGCAAGGTCATGATTAGTGAAGATGATGAAATAACCAGTTTTTGTCCAGAGCATATTTCTACATGCATGGAGGGATTTTTATGACACCTCATAGAAACGTTCACTACTATCAGAAGCTGTGTCGAGTTCATGACCCAAGTCTCTAGGTCAAGGTCACACTAAGAGGCCATTTCAAATGCTTGTCTGAAGCAAAACTTTTACATGTTAAGAGGGATTTCAAATTAACTTGGCATAGATGTTCACCATTGTGAGGTGGAGTGTCGCGCGCAAAATGAAAGGCATTGCGACTAAGGTCAAGGTTACACATATGGGTCAAAGTTCAGATAAAAAATGAAGAAGTGTGTATAGGTACCATTTAGTTAATCATTTATTGAGGGATTGTAACGTTATTTTTTACGACTTTCGCAATGGCACTTGTATTTTAGGTAATTTTACGCAAGGTGAAGGTCACTAAAGATGATGAAATACTGTAAAAGTGGTTAATTTTGCGACGTGGAAATATATGTGATTTTGGCGAATTGAAATTATATGCAAATTATTTCTTTTAAGGCAAACTTTCTTCTTTCATTGGAAAACACGTTTTCATACAGCATCTTACATTAATAAGTCTGACTGTTCAGGACCTGAAATTATTTTGTCTCATTGCTTGTTAAGTTTTGTCTTAACAAATCACAAATGTTTAAATGAAACAATATATGTGATAAAAACACAAAAGGTTTTTCATATAACAAAATAATGCTTCAAAATATGACAAAAATTGTGTGATTAGGTTCTTTATCAAACTAACAATGTAATTTCAAACAATTATATAAATGATAAAGGAATTAAACAACTGAATAGAACGATTACAATAACGGCATATTTTTAATATATATACTGTGCTCCTCTTAGTTCACGGTACTTAATTCTTTGAAGCAAGAAAGAAAACAAAACATGAAACTTATGGTAATTGTCATAAGCTGTAACATATAGGTATTTTCTGCTGTATGACACAAGGAAACAACAATATATTTAGTCAAAATAAGTTTAAATGAGCCAGACGTAGACCATATGTCGGCCATTTTGAAAACGCTATGTCATCATTTAAATCGCGGTAATGGTGTTTTATTTCAGTTTTTTCATGTTTCAGTTGAAATTTCTACATGTTATTTTGCATAATTTTAAATATTTAAAGTTTCTATACATTGTAACTCAATATTTATTTTTTCAACAAACAAGAACATTTAGAAAATGATGATTGTTTGAGACGTATGCACAAATTAAACGGACTATTGTTGCTTTTTGCAGAAGATTGTAAAATGTTCTGTTTTACGTAAAAAATCTAGAAATTTAAAATATTTTGCACAAAAACTTTGTTGTTTAGGTGTATGAATAAAATACGTCAATTCAGACCATTTTAACACTGGTCACATGAAAATATGCCATTTTTAAATTCAAGAAATCATATTTTCGCAAATATTTCCGCATGCAAACAGGTTCACTTTCTGACATTCGCAAAAGTTTTGTGACGCATAAATACCCACTTATACAGTATCTGGATTAGTCTGGAGCATATCTCCTTCATGCATGGAAACAATTTTATGATACTTATTAAAAATGTTCACCGCCATTAGATGTTTTGCTTTTAAGATATTTTGTAGAAATGTTCACCATTATTTAATGTATTGCTTCATACATGATCCAGTTCAAAGGTCAAGGTCACACATAGGCCTAATTGCAATGCATATCTATAATGCCCACATGGCCGTCAAAAGCCTTTATAACGGGCGTATTTTTCGACAATGTTGCCCTTGTTTAACCTAATGTGCCATTTTTTTATAACAAAGTGAATTTGAGTTTACTTCTATGACATGCTTGATAATGTACATAAAACAAAATGTATTTGATCATGTGAAATGGAAATTTAGCCTAAACCAGTTACTGTTTTTAATTTAAATATTATGATAATACATGTTTATAAATCAAGGTGTTCTCATATTTCGATAGGTCATCTTAGAAATTTAACACTCTTAATGTCTGTGTATAAGAAATTATGTGTCAATTATGTATGCTCTAAAATAAGCTCTATGCTAAAACATCGAAAATAAAAAACAAAAATTGATTATAACCAGACATTTTATGTGTTACTTGTAGACTTATACGAAGTTGTTTTGCTTTTTAGTATTAAATTGTACAGTAGTACAATAATAATGATTCTTGTTGTGATCTTTGGCCGTCTTGTTTTATTCCACTCCATCTGTCAGAATACAGGTCATTTCCAATTACTCTGGCAAACAGTGACAATAGGCAAGAAAAATAAAATAAGGGAAAACATTATTAAGAAGAGATACAATGTGTTTATTTGAAATAAAGTTCTCTTAGAAGTTTCTCTTCCTTTATACAGGAGATTTTAACCTTGACTGTTAAAACATAAAATGGAGCTATTGTAGCAGTCATGCTTGTGTTGATATTGCCATTCCGAAAGTTTTAATGTTGAACATAGTTCAGTTTATTTCATTTATTTCTTAATGGATTGCCTTCATACGCCGCACAAGAATCTGTTTACAGAACTTTCAAGTATACGTGACTATGCTTGAACTTAACCTATGATTTACCTTGATCTGAAGGGTCAATTTTAAGATTCGTTGAATGTCCGTCGTCCGTCCAGATTAGTTTGTTAACACTCTAGTGGATACATTTTTGCCTCAATCATCATCAAACTTTGTCAGTATGCTTGTCTAAGTAATTACTCGGATGAAATCGAACATTTGTCATCTCGAATGAAAAACTAGATCACAAGTCTAGTGTTCATAATTTCCACTAAATTGTCAGGATGCTTGCCGAGGTAATTGCTCGAATGAGTTCGAATATAGGTAATCTGGGATAAAAAAAACTAGGTCACACGAGCTAAAAAATAGAGAAATCTTGTTGACACTCTTAGACTAGTGGCTACTGTTTTGATCCATTGAATATACTGGAGATTCAACCAAGGTCTCCTCTACAATAACGTACATCTAAATAAAGAAGGCTCAGTCATGCTGGGAAACCAGCTAAATGCAAGAATTAGAGATATCCTCGGCAACACCAACCGAGAAATTTTACAGAGAAATAGATCAAGTACCCATATCCAGAAAGCAAGGAAATTTTCACAACGTCCACGGCATGCAGATACATTTTCGCAGAAACCCGTATCGCGATACCTGGAATCCCTGGCCCAGCACCTTTGGATGATGCCACACTGGTAAAAAACACTGAACTGGATAATTCTGCTATAACCAATACCGTACCGAACAGACAGTGAAAAATGTCACCGATAGAACATCATCACATGACCTTTTTCTGACAGAAGACAATGATAAAGTAAATACATGTCACATTTTAGATGAAATACATTTGACAAAAAAAGGAATTATCTTTATGCACTTTAATATTCATTATCTTTATCCAAATATAGAATAGTTAAAACACATGGTAGACAAGTATCAAGATATAGACATTCTGGGACTAAGATAAACTTTTCTGTTTGCTGTTTTTTTCTGATTCGGAGATATGTTTAAAAAAACACAACTGTTTCGGCGTGATATGATATCAAATGGTGGTGGAGTTAGGTTATATGTTAAGTCTACAATACCATGTGAATTAAGACCTGACTTAGAATTGGAAGATGTTGAGTCTATATGGTTGACAAACAGAAACCATTTCTAGTGGTTTACATCTATAGGCCACCTTTATCATTGGCATGTATAAATTTCTAATTACCTCCCTTTATTTACATGAAATGTAAATTCGGTAATTTCTTTACAAACAATGCTTTTTGGAATTTACAACAGTGATAAATCTTCATTTGAGCATCATATTAATGACATTAAACCATAAAGAAATTGAGTTACAGGATCTTTAATTGTGGCAGGGTGAACAGGAAAGAGACGCTTCATTCAAGTATGTCTCAAGTGCGAATAATATAAGTCTTCCTTAGATCATTATACAACAATTATATTTGGACGCTGAACTGTGCACACATATGTTGGCGACATTATGTATACTGATCCATGGTAAGTGTTTAAAACTTATATAATAATGGACATTTGAAAAAAAATAACACGGTTCGTCTTGTAATTGTACTTTAACTTGGATTAATTTTCAGTTACGTAAAATTGTATGGCATTATTTATTATATACAACATGTTTTGAATTCAGTGCTGATATTTGAAGGTAAACTTTATACTTACATGATGGTCTGTATGGTATACAATTATGTTTGTGTGGCTGATAACTTTTGTGATTATTTTGTAACATAATAGATATCTTGATAAAAATATATGCACGCATAAATAATAATCTTAATGTTGTCATGCCCTGAATATCAGCTACAGACAGTGCATTATTGTAACATAATAAGCAATGTTTTTTTTATATAAAAGCATAGATTCGGACTGAAGTCACATGGTTTAATATCGACGCACATTAATTTCAGTTTCCTATCATGTCTATTTACAATACACGTAAAAGTTAAATAAAATCTTCAAATCAAATTTATAAACATGGTAAAAAGAATTAACTCATTTATCGTGTTTGATATCATTACAGCAGAAAAGAATTTGAGCCGCGGCATGACAAAACCAACATAATGGGTTTGCGACCAGCATGGATCCAGACCATATTACAAGTAGAGTAACTGATCGCGAACAGCATGGATCCTGATAAGACTGCGCAGATGCAATCCTTTTCTGCCCTTTACTGATGTGTGTGCATATATCGTGTGATGTTAAATATAAAAGGTAATATACTAAAACCCCTGTCACACTAGGGCGGCGTTCTCACGGCGTCCAAAGAAAATTCAGAACGCCGAAGTGAGCGCAGGAGGATCGCAAACATCGCCGCAGCATTGCCCCAGCATCGCAGTGGCATCGCATAGAACGCCGACCGACGGCGCACATTTTGAGCATGCTCAAAGCAAACGCCGTCACTCGGCGTTCTGATAAGAGCACAGTGAGATCACAGTAAGGATGCCGTAGCAACTCAGGAGCATCTCCTACAACGCAACAGGAGCGCCGTGAAAGCGCAGAAGGAGCGCCGAATGAACGCAGTGGTTAGCCACAGCGCTTGTACGGAGATTGTGCAGCGTCTCTTCCGCGCTTATACTGCGTGTATACGGCGCTTTTACGGATCTTTATTTTTCTAAAACGCTCTTACTGCAATTTTACGGTACTGTCACGGAGACCATTGCGCACCCGAGGCGATTTTACAGCGTCCATCTAAAATTACCTCTACTTTAGGCCATCCCGGAATTGAGGACAAGCCTCCATTTAGACCAATTTTTAAAAAACGGAATTTTCTGTTCGTTATGTTAATGGTAACATGATTCACAATTAAGACCATCCCACTTATCTACTTTTAAGACTGCCAGTTTCAGTCCAAATTCAGTCCCCACTATGATAACAAGTTTGTTGTTATTCATCTACTTGAATTCTAAAGCATGACACTTGATAAAACAATGTGTGATTGGAAAATTGTATAAAGGCGAGAAAAACTTCAGATTGGTTAAATGTTACACATGTACTTTCTGCATATTTGTTTTGTAAAGAATTAATTTCTTAATTAATAGGTGAAATATGTACATGAAACAAGAATAATGAAGGTTTAATCAATATTTTGAATATCTTAAGACTTATATTACATTTAGGATTAAATATAATAACATTAGTTTACAGATATAGTGTAAGGTTAAGATAAAATTGTATAAACATATTTATACTAATACATGGTAATTCAAATAGAATGGTTATGAAATATATGTGCCTTCATAATTATATCCACAATTAAGACCACCCGCAATTAAGACCACTTTAATCAAGTCCCTTTGATGGTCTAAAAAGAGGGTTTTCACTGTATATAATAGAAGGTGTTTGCAAGTAAATATCCTTTTAACCATGGATGATGAACGACAGCAAGCTGGAATATTGCTTGATTGCATGCAGGTGCAGCAGGTACACGACCATTCAGAATGAGTAATCACTGGAATATGAAACAAAGTTCAGCGCAGTGTGAGCGCCGCAAGAACGCCGTGTGAGCACTGTGGAAGCGCAAAGAACGCAGGTCAAGCGCAGTCCGAACACAGACAATCGCGAATTAAACACCGTAAAAACGCATTGCAACGCCGTGAAAGCTCCGTAGCAACGCCATTATTGCCGTGAGGACGCCGTGAAAACTCAATGTCATCAAAAATATCAGATTTTTTCTTGCGATCTCGCGGCGCTTTATTCAATTTAACAACGCCGTGCAAACGCAGTAAAAGCACAGTCTAGTGTGACAGGGCCTTAAGATAGTGCGCGTATAAATATAATTCTTTACATTTTTATAAAGGTGTAAAACAGAACTGTTTGCTACTGACGAGTGACACGTTTGTATATTATCATTTATAACTCCTTGTTTAAAAACTCTTGGAAATAAATTACAATCTGTCTGGTGTTCAAAAAAGTATTCAGATAAACCATATTTATCAAGCATTTCTTTAGCATTTGACACCCAGTTATTTTTTACTTTAAAGCAATCACATAAACTTAATTCATATATTTTCTGTAAAAATTATATTGATTCAGAAGTATTTATTAATTTGCACCAATAATTTTTTATATATACAATGGATAACGGTCGAGTTAACCGTATATACTGGAATTACTTTTAACATTTGAAATTCTTTACAAACGGATGCGTTCAATATCTTTTGATTAGCTTTAATCACATACTTCATATGTATACGATATAATTGAGCCTACATAAGAATCAAATACTTGACATAATAATTCTGGGTTTAATCCTGATCTACACCTATGGTGGCCGATAACGACCATTTTAAAGCTGCGAGAAATTTTACTGTCGGTTTATAAAATGTCGAGGGCAACTTTCAAATCCGCGAGATTTTATGTCTAAATTGTATAAAATATTTTGATTTAAACATATTTTATTGCCAAAAATAAGACATATACATATATGTAGACAGTTACAATACAATGACATGACATATTTGGCAAAAGGGTTGACCCACAAGTTCTCTCAACATTAGCAACGGGTCTTCCCTGATGCAATAAATTACAATAACTTATTTTACAAGAATGACTATCAGTTAGATAGAAGTAACAAAACTCACACATATATAGTACTTGGCTTTAAAAATGATTTTAGGTAAGAAAGAACAATAAAAATGATTGGGTGTACATGTTCTCTAGCTTGAATAGTTTTTAACGATGTTAACTGATTTATATATATTTGCGTTACAATGACTTAGAAAACATGTACATTTGCCGAATATACCAAAATCAAAAATAGATTTTGAGAAAATGAAATATAGAAGAAAAAAAAAATAGAAGAAGAAAGAAAAGAATCTTGTCTATTGTTTTGCAAAAATGAAAGAAAAATACATTAATATTTATTCGGATTGTGCTGGTTTGTTTTCAAAATCAAAAGCGTTTGCTTACTTTTATGAAATGCTGAACAGTCAAAAATATTTTATTATTATTTTCTAAAGACAACTCTTTGTTACCAACTAAAAGTAATTGGACATTTAAAGGGTGAAATTGCCTTAATTCGTTAAAAAGATCAATTCTCTCATTTCGATATTTCGGACAAGTAAACAAAAAATGGTTAACATCTTCTATCTCATAACCGCACGAACAATTTGCATCCTGTAACAAATGATTGCAGAATAAGTGGAAATTTAAGTTACTGCATGCATTTCTCAGTCTGCAGTGTAAAACTGAGAGTTTTCTTTCACCTGTAAGGTACCATTTTGGAGTGTCTGTAGATCGAAAGGTTGATTTCTTTAATAGAGATTTAAAATGTGACAGAGTTTCTACAGATCTTGTTTCAGGTTGCAAGTTGTTCCATAGCATTACGGACGAAGGCACAAAAGAAGAAGAAAATATATGAGTCCGTCTGTTTAAAGTTGCAAAGTCATCTGAGTTTCTAAGATTGTATGGTGTTGTATTATGAACTCTTTCTGGAAAAATATTACTTAAATAATCAGGAACGTCTCCATTATGAATTCTATATGTTAAAATAAGTTTTTGGTACGTTCTTCTATCAGATAGTGAGAGCCAATTAATTTCTTTATATAAATTTGGAGAGAAACTGAACGGGTTAGGCCGCTTACGATTCTGGCTGCCTCATGCTGTATTTTATCTAACGTATCCTTTTCGTAATTTGTACACCCATCCCAGACTACAGAAGCATATTCTAAAAAAAGTCTAAGAAATGAAGTGTAAATTTGGTTTAGGGTTTCCCTGTTAAGGGAATATTTCAGTTTTCTCATTGTACCTAGTAATTTAGAAGCCTATAATGTTATACTTTTAATATGATCGTGCCATTTTCCATTAGAACTAAAAGTTAAGCCTAAATGTTTATGACTTTCAACAAATTTTACCGGTATGCCATCAAATTGTAATTTTGGATTGTTAACGTTGGATTGTAAAGTAAAAATAATCGCTTCTGTTTTGTTAGGATTAAAATCTACAACACATTTTTTATCAAAGCTAAATCATGATTAATAATTCCTTCTAGATCGAATATTGATGATGTTGTACAAGACAAAGAGGTGTCGTCTGCAAATAAACGAGTTATACATAGCAAATTTTCTACAATATCATTAACGTACACAAGGAAGAATAATGGCCCAAGCACCGAGCCTTGGGGGACCCCTGCGTTTACAGTCAGTGGTTGTGATAAAGAAGACCCTACAAAGACCTTTTGACTTCTATTAATTAGGTAACTTTCAATCCATTTCAAAAAGTTACCTTTGATACCATTTTTCTGAAGTTTCAGAAGTAAACCCTTGTGCCATACTCTGTCAAACGCTTTAGATATGTCACAAAACACTACACAAGTAAATGTTCTATCATCTAAAGATTTAACTATTTGGTGATATATATCTAATAATTGAAAAATCGTTGAATGACCTTGAAGGAACCCTGACTGTTTTGAATAAATCAAATTATTGGCTATTAAATGATTGTATATATGTTTATAAACAATTCTCTCCATTAACTTTCCTATACAACTTAATAAAGAAATCGGACGATAATTTGAAGTTAAATTTGTATCACCTTTCTTAAAAAGAGGCATTACAATAGCGGATTTCCATATGGAAGGAAATATACACTCTGCTAGTGACCTATTTAGTAATAAACATAGGGGTTTACACACAGTACTACATATATTTTTGAGCAATTTATGACTAATAAGATCTTCACCGACTGCCTTATTAACATCTAAATTCCTTATAATATCCATTACTTCATTTTCGGTTATAGCTATTTCAGAAATAATAGAATGCGTGTAATCATCTAAAGTGGGAAGGGTCTTGTCCGTATCGTTTAAATGAGAAATGGACGCAAAATATTGGTTTAAGCAATTGGCCTTCTCTAAGTCTGAGAAATATAATGATTCTGTTCCATCGTTATTTGTAGTCTTCAAAGGCGGAATAATTTCTGAACATCTTTCTGTTTTTATGAACTGCCATATAACTTCCAATATTGTTTAGGATTATTTGCATTTGTTTCTATTAAAGTGTTCTCTAAATTAGAATAAAACTTTTCTTTGGCATTTTTCTTTAGATTGTTTACTTTGTTCCTTAAATGTTTATACATTGTCCAATGGTTAGTATTTTTTGTAGAAATTGCTATTGATTTTTGTCTATCCCTTTTCTTGAATATAATCTAATTTTAGAGTCGTACCATGGTTTATCATACGGCCGAATTGTTACTTCTGTATGTGGAATAGATTT